GTTGATGATGGTTACTGTGAATCTGCAGACGTGATTTTATAGTCAGATAGAGTTGGCAGGTTAAGATATATAGGTCAATCACTTTGAATGCTTGTACATGACATCATTTATTTGGAATATGACATTGCATTTGAATGTGCGCAAGCATAGTGATGAAACAAGTCAGTACACAGTCCAGCAGCTTTTTCTTAAAACCTGATGTCATACGTCATTGTTTATAAGCGTGATGTTTGAGTTCACAGAGAGGTGACGTCATAAAGCTTGGCTCAGGCAGCTATGGATTTTTAACGGCGCTGCCATGTCAGTGGTGTCATCATGCATCTCAATGATGTCATACATCACCACTCCACTGCATTCATTCACGTTAATACACTATTACCCTACATTCACAGACATCATGGTGTGAATTTTGAGCTCATTCTGGTTCTTTATGCAGCACTTTGGCAATCCACTGGTTGGGTTGTTGCAGTCAGCTGTTGCTGTGATTTGTGTCAGCTGTCTCTGCAGTACCAGGTGCATCCAAGAAGGGACTCTGTAATGGGCCATTGGCAACCTGAGTGACATCAGGAGAGTCACAATATCACGATTTCTGTTTTCTCTCTGCTTCAGCCAGTGCTTGCTAGTGATGATGCATATGCTTTGTGTAACATGTTGCATGTTGTTCATTCAACTTTATTGTGAGCAGTAATGAAGCATGATATGACAGCAAATACGGTGCTACAAAGGACTAATGCATGGTGAAGAAGGTAGAGGAAATTAATGGCCTCAAATATGAAAATATCGCTAGAAAAAAATGAGCGTTAATATTTGAGAAAATAAAAAATTCTAAGACGATTTGCTTAACACATTCAATAGCTGAATTCAGCAGCTAGCCTTTGGAAGATCATTTGTGATCCTCACAAAAACAAAAACAAAAACTTCCAAAGGCCTTATATTAAACAGTTTCTGTTAAGCTTGTAAGGCCTGTAATGGTGTTTCCCTGTCTATGGCTCCCCACGACCCTAAATTGGACCAGCTGTTTGGAAAAAGGATGGATTGGTAAATAGTTTAAAGTTACATGAAATCAGGTTACAAGTTTGAATAATACTTATTTGGGCCTCAATTGAAATTTGGTCAGATTAGACTGAAGTGAAAAATGATAAAAAAAAAAAAAAAAGTATAAAGAATTTCTACTGAATATCTCAACCAAATATTCTTGTGTCACTCTTGTTTGTTTTAAGCAGAGGTTGACTGATAACAGCTTTTTTGATAATAGCTCGATAAGAGTAACTGATATAATATAAAATGTCTGACAGTTTTTAAAATATACATAGTGAATTAGGGATGGATGGTATGGCCACAGAACAGTTATTTTTTCTGCAATTTATATTACATAACCATGGAAAAGAGGATTCTTAACAAATGAATGCTTAACATGGCATCATTGCAAAAACAGCATATATATATATATATAGTAACGGGGTGAAGAATCACACGACAAGTAATCTCAATCAATACCCCGGAGGGTGGATTTATTGGTGTGGTGGGTGATAGGGAGAAAGGTTAGCTGGTCCAACAGCTCATCCACCTGATGCATGGGGTATCCGTCGAACTTGGAGACCTCGTTGAGGCGGCGGAAGTCATTGCAGAAGCGGAGGGTGCCGTCCGGTTTCGGGACCATCACGATTGGGCTGGACCACGGGCTGCG